TTCTCGTGCTTCACGCTCCCAAGCAGCTGGGATTACAGGCACACACCACCATGGCTCATTTTTGTATTTCCTGTAAAGCCAGGGTTTTGCCATATTGGCCACGCTGGTCTTGAACTCCTGGCCTCAAGTGACCTGCCCACCTCAGCTTCCTAAAGTGCTGGGACTACAGGTGAGGTTGGAGTTCGATGTTCAAGTTGTTCCTTAGAGAGGGAAGCTGAAGGGGCACCAGCCAGGCAGGGGATGTATGTTTGCCAAGAGGCCAAGGACTCTCTTTTTTTGCCTTGGCTGTGAACCCAGGAGAAGGGAACTAAAGAGTTTTTTGTTTTTTGTTCTTTTTTTTTTAGATGGAGTCTCACTCTGTCACCCAGGCTGGAGTGTAGTGGTGCAATCTCAGCTTACTGCAACCTCCGCCTCCCAGGTTCAAGCAATTCTTCTGCCTCAGCCTCCCAAGTAGGTGAGATTACAGATGTTCGCCACGACGCCCAGCTAATTTTTTATTTTTAGTAGAGATGGGGGTTCACCATATTGGCTGGGCTGGTCTCGATCTCCTGACCTCAGGTGATCTGCACACCTTGGCCTCCCAAAGTCCTGGGATTACAGGCATGAGCCACTGCACCCAACTTAAAGAGTTCTTAAGAGCAGAGACTTGAACGGTGATGGAGCCCAAGAGAGACCCAGCTGGATACTTCTGACAAGATAATCAGGGCCCTGACTGCCACAGAGAAAGGCCACCAGTGCAAACCAGGAATTACCAAGCGCTCCTGGGACACAGGGTCACATCCTTTGATAATCTAATGACTCAAGGGTGCATGCTGGCTCCTCTCCCCTCCTTACCCCCATCTGTGGGATTCCCTGGGTAAACACCAGCCCTATGCCAGATGGGAGTCTGGGCCATGCTATTGTACTACCAAACTTGCAAACAGCAGTTCAGCTTTAAGAAGTCAATCCAATCTTAGTGCAAGCTTCCAGAACACCTCTTAAGAAAGATGGTCAGCTTCATCACTGGAGCCCCCATCGCCTGTCTGACAAGCTTCTGTCAGAGGAAGACCAGAGATAAGCAAGGAGGGCTGAAGATCAAGGAAAAGGGCTGTTCAGCATCAAGGTGCTGATTAAACTTCAGGCCTCAGTAAACTAGTGATTAAGCCCTAAGCACAGGAGTGGCTGACCCAGGTAGCCCATGAAGGCCAAGCTACAGCTTTGGCCCAGTGGCCCAGAGAGGGCAGAAACCTTAGAGCAGGCCTCCCCACTCTCCTAGAGCCAGGCTGGTATAGATATGGAGTAAAAAGGGCAAAACTAAATCACTTGTTCACAAAGATACAATTATGGAAGGGCAAGGGCGCGGGGTCCCAGCATCCTGGAGACTTTCTTTTTCTTTTCTTTTCTTTATTTTTTTTTAAGACATGGTTTCACCATGATGGTCAGGCTGGTCTTGAACTCCCGACCTCAGGTGATCCACCCGCCTTGGCCTCCAGAGTGCTTGGATTACAGGCATGAGCCACCACGCCCGGCCAATCCTGGAGACTTTCAATAAGCTGGTGGCCAAGCTGGACATGGTGGCTCATGTCTGTAATCCCAGCACTTTGGGAGGCCAAGGTGGAAGGACCACTTGAGCACAGGAGTTCAAGACTGAGACCAGCCTGGGCTATGTGGTGAAACCCCATCTCTACAAAAAAACAGAAGAATTAGCCGGGTGTGGTATTGTGTGTCTGAGTCAAATTCTGGGTGACAGGACAATTCTGAGAGAATGAGAGCAAGTCAAGAGAAACTTTAGGAGGGGGTGACCTATCCAGGGATGGACACATTGAGTCTGGGATAACAGACAACAACTGCACAGAAACTGGCATCACCAGGGCTGAGCGTGGTGGCTCAAGCCTATAATCCCAGCACTTTGGGAGGCCGAGGTGGGTGGACCGCCTGAGGTCAGGAGTTCTAGACTCAGCCTGGCCAACATGGTGAAACACTCTCTCTACTAAAAATAGAAAAATTAGTTGGGTGCAGTGGCATGCACCTGTAGTCCCAGCTACTTGGGAGGATGAGGCAGGAGAATCGCTTGAGCCTAGGAGGTGGAGGTTGCAATGAGCCAAAATTGTACCACTGCATTCCAGCCTGGACAGAGCAAGACTTCATCTCAAAAAATAAATAAATACATTTTACTGGCCAATCATTTTCAAAAATCATAGCCATAAGTTTTTGTACCTAAAGGGTAACTGGAGCACCACACCAGGGCAGGCTCAACAATTCATCTTTATATCTCTAGAACCTCAGCACAGAGTCCAGCCCACAGCAGATGCCCAGTGAATACCTGACGATGAAAGGAATCAGAGGAAAATACAAATCAGACAGAACAGCTGTGGAAAATGCAGACACTCTCTCAGGAACAGCAGAAATCCAAAGCAGATACCACCTCCACCCCCACATTACCAGCCAGACCTAGAGAGAGCGATCATCTTGAATGACAGTGATGAACACAGTGCTCCCTATTTGCTAGGCACTGTGCCAAACTATATATGCCTTAACTCATCTTAATGTCTACAAGAGCTTTTATGAGGGCTTTAAACCAGGGCTTGGCAAACTACTGCCCATGGGCCAAACCTGGCCCATCATCTAGTTCTGTGTAGCCCACAAGCTACAAATGGTTTTTACATTTTTAAGTGGTTGAAAAAAATCAAAATATTTTGAGACTGTGAAAAGTGTATGAAATTCAAATTCCAATATCCACAAATAAAGTTTTATTGGAACATGGCCAAACTGACTATTTATTTACACTGTAGCTGCTTTTGCTCTACCACACACACAGCCGAGTGGTCATGGCAGAGACTATGGCACCTTGATTTGCACTGCTGCTTTGCATACTACAAGTCACAGTGACACAGTCATAAATGCTTCACAGCATTTTGAGCATCTCATGTCACCTATCATTAGCTATCTGTGTCAAAAGATGTTTTCAAAGATGAAATACATGAAATCTCTACAGATCAGCATGAACATGAATATCTACAATCAAATTTGACCATTTGGAACACTAACTTTGTACATCAATTAGGCAAAATGTTATCCTCAAAAAGAGAAATTCAGTTCTTCCCATTAGTAGCTCTGTATTACAAAAATATCAAATTTGATTATTTTTATTATTTTGAGACAGGGTCTCTCTGTTGCCCATGCTAGAGTTTTTCGTCACCCCAAAAGTGGAAATATGAGTGTCCAGTTCAAAGGTCCATAGACTTTTTCTGTAAAGTGTCGATAGTAAACATTTTATGCTTTGCTGATAAGAGGTAAACATCAAAGGGTACTGTGTAAGAATTTAAATACCAAGAGAAAACAAATTATCACAATTACAATTTTTTTTTTTGTTTTTTTTTGAGACGGAGTTTCACTCTTGTTACCCAGGCTGGAGTGCAATGGCGCGATCTCGGCTCACCGCAACCTCTGCCTCCTGGGTTCAGGCAATTCTCCTGCCTCAGCCTCCTGAGTAGCTGGGATTACAGGCACGTGCCACCATGCCCAGCTAATTTTTTGTATTTTTAGTAGAGACGGGGTTTCACCATGTTGACCAGGACGGTCTCGATCTCTTGACCTCGTGATCCACCCGCCTCGGCCTCCCAAAGTGCTGGGATTACAGGCTTGAGCCACCGCACCCGGCCTACAATTTTTTTTGAGATGGACTCTCACTCTGTTGCGCAGGCTGGAGTGCAGTGGCATGATCACAGCTCACTGTAGCCTTAACTTCCTGGGCTCAAGTGATCCTCCCACCTCAGCCTCCTGTGAGCTGGGACTACAGGCATGCACCACCACACCTGGAAAATTTTTATATCTTTCATAGAGACAGAGTTTTGCCATGTTGCCCAGACCAGTTTCAAACTTCCGGGCTCAAGCAATCTGCCCACCTCAGCCTCCCAAAGTGTTAAGATTATAAGCATGAGCCACTGTGTCCAGCCTCATGTTATATTTAATTTTATGACTTAAAAATTTGTGGGCCGGGCACAGTGGCTCACACCTGTAATCCCAGCACTTTGGAAGGCTGAGGCGGGCAGATCACCTGAGATCAGGAGTTCAAAACCAGCCTGGCCAACATAGTGAAACCCCATCTCTACACACAAAAAAATACAAAAATTAGCCAGACATGATGGCGAGTGCCTGCAACCCCAGCTACTTGGAAGGCTGAGGCAGGAGAATCCCTTGAACCCGGGAGGCAGAGGTTACGGTGAGCTGAGATCGCACCACTGCACTCCAGCCTGGATGTCAGAGTGAGACTCCATCTCAAAAAAAAAAAAAAATTATGATAATTCGGTTCCTCTTGGTATTTAAATACCTACACAGTACCCTTTGATTTTACCTCTTATCAGCAAAGTATAAAATATTTACTATCTGACACTTTACAGAGGAAGTTTGTGGACCTTTGAACTGGACACTCATATTTCCACCTTTGGGGTTAGGAAACTGTGGCACACAGGTTATGCAATATGCCCATGCTTACAAGGCCCATCAGTAGTAACACTGTGATCTAAACCTGGTCATCCTGGCTATAGAGTCTGTGCTCCTAAAGCACCTGCCTTCCACATGTTTCTGCCCACCTGTGACTCCCAGTATCTCATCCCACCAGTGACTTACGTGCCTGTAGAATCCACTGCCACAGCCCGGACCCCACCACGATGACAGAGAATCTTTGCCAGTGGCTCCTTCATAGCTGGACTCCATAAAGACACAGTACCTGGAAGGAAATAAGAACCAAAGTTGCTAATATAAACCTAACCCTGAGGTTATTAAACCTGGGAAAGATGGCAACTCAAGACCAAGAGATAATAAAAAAGGGAAATAAAAGGATAACTTTAAGGTAACTCATGAAGTACAAATATAAAGAAAAGCAAGTCAGAATGGTCAGAGTCAAAACTAAGCCAGGGACTGACCATTGCTGTGTCCGAGATGGATGACGGCATTGTAAGGGTTCTGACTCATAACATCAAGCCGCCCAGCTCGAGCATTCAGAGCTGCCACGATCTTCCCCACTGACACATCCAGGTAGGTTAGAAATCCTGTTTCTGACTGAAAGAGAGAGACAGAGAGACAGAGAGAGAGAGAGGGAATGACCCAGTCCTGATTGCCCTCTGTATTCCTTATCCTGGGGTCCTAAAGGAGAAGTGGTCTTCCCAAGGGCTGCCACCCAGTTCCTGAGCCCCACGGCCACTCACAGCGGTAGCCAGGAGGAAGTGGAAGGGCAGGAACTCAAGCCGTGTTACTCGGTCACAACGGCGGATACAGTGGAGCTCAATGCCCTGATTGTCATAGATGTGGAGCCAGCGGTTCTGAGCAACAGCAAGCAGTGCCTCAGAATGGAGAAACCTGGAGGAGGGAAAGAGTGGTTCAATTGGGAAATGAGGTCACAGGCTATCATTCTATCAGGGATGGACTGTCTCACCCCTACTGACTGCTGACAGTGAGGCCACTGACCGGATGTCCCGCACTGCCTCCATGACGTTGATCTCGCACATAAGCTTCTTTGTTACCCAATCAAGGGCAGCCACATGACCCCGACGCCCTCCAAAAGCCAGGTGTCTGTTGGAGGTGAGGGGCAAGCAGGGTGTTAAGGCAGTGGAGCACCAACTCAGACAACTTGAGGTCTGCCCCATGCCAGCCCTGCCTCTCCCTCTCCAGGTGGGCAGACAGATGTTGCTGTAGGTGCTCACCCTCACACCCAAGCAAATCGCAGGACTCTCACCTCATCAACAACCCAAACATACAGGGGGAACAGCTGAAATGGGCATGGCTGAAGTGGTTAAGGAAACACATCTTAGTTCAAGAGTCACTAGATTCAACCTTACCTCCCAGTTCGAGAGTAGTTTAGTCTGTAGGGTCCAAACTGCCGCAGATTCAAGTCAAAGTGCTGGGAAAGAGTGAAGAAAAAAAAGAATGAGTTCTCTGCAGTAACGCCTTCTTCTAGCCTCCATTCCTCTCTTGTCCTGCACCATCAATCAACCCTTTAGCTGCTTTATCTCCTCGCTCACCTTGGCTGCACTTGCAATGTCCACAGCCTCCACAATGTCAGCCTGGCATATCTTTGCTGTGTCTTCCCCATCCTCCCCTTCCAGAAACCTGAAAGCAAGGGTTAGGATGGCAGTAAAGTTTCCCAATATGAAGCAAGTGTACCAACATAAAAACGAGAAATGAGAGTCCTATAAAGCAGGGAATGAGGGGGGCCAGATTAGGGCTCACTCACCCAGGTTCCTCAGCAAGCAGCAGCTCAGAACGAGCAGCTTTGATACTTGTTTCCTCTTCCTCAGCTTCAGCCACCTCAAGTCGGCTTCGAGTTTTGGCTTTAGACTGTGGTAGCTATAACATTGTTGGTAGGCAAGAGTGGCAGAAAAACCACAGGATAAGTGGGGTCACAGGAGGGCTACCTGGCCCAGCCTCCATCCAAATCACTGACACTCCTGGCCTCCAACACTTCCCAACTCTCCAGCTGGACCTCACCTTTCGGGATTTGTCAATGCGACAGAACTTCTGGACCACCTCCACAGGGACGGGGGCGGGGCCTGGGAATGGGTCCTGGGCCTAGGGGAAGGAAGGACGCAATTAGCAGACAGCCTTAAATTGACCCCAACTCTTTCACTCTCAAAGTACAAAGCGACCTGCCTCGCCACCCATTAGGTCCCACGCTTACCCCGGACAAGCTCCGCTGGGACTCCGGATTCTTCCATTCTCGGGGTTTCTTCTGGACCTGAGGCTTCTTGGAGATCCGAGACTTCTTTAAGATGTGAGTACTTTTTGCTCCCCGGGGACGGAGCTCCCGATTCTTCTTGTTACGAGGAGGCCCTGGAGAGACTCCGGCTGTGGTCGGAACGGTCTCTTCCTCCCAGTATCGCCGCGGTTTCTACGGGCAGATCAGGAGCCCTGATACTCCGCACCTACGCCACGCCCCCCGACTCCGCAGCTAAAAACTTCCTTTCCCACCCAGAGAGGCCTTTACCTTTCTCTTCGTCTGAAGTTTGTCCTTCTTGGGCGGGACACCCCTCCCCGGCTTGGGGGCTGTCTCCATCTCGCCCACCGGAACGGCGTTCCACGTGCAAAACTCCTCTCAGCTGCCCCACAGTCGGCTTGAAAACTCCCGGAAGCCCTCTGTCCTTCATCCAATCAGCAGCGTACCAAATTGAAGCTCTCTTAACGCCATCTTGAGTGAGGGCACGCTGTCTATTTAGAGGGGCAGAACAGCTCTTGGCACCTTGTCGCACTTAAAAAAAAAAAAAAAGGGCAGGTCCGGGACCAGGGACTAAGTAGCGGTGCGATTTCTTTTTCCGGATTAGTTTCCCCGTCTTGCCTAAAAATGTCCGAGTCTAGTCTTTTTAGCAGAACGCCATTCACTAAACATGTCAGAACTACACTTCCCAATAAGGGTCAGAAATAAACTTCCGGCACAGTCTTTTCCCAGCATTCTTTGTTTACTTCCGGGTTTATTACTACTAAAGGGAGAACGTGAGGAGGTTAGGATTTCGGTTGAGGGGCTCCGGGTTTCGTGTTTCGCCCGTCATCTCCTGGGAACAGGGTGGAGTCGCTATCCGGAACGTGGGGAGTTTGCGGTCCCCCTCAGGGCTACCTGTCAAGAGTGCCATCATTTCCGCAGGCCAGATCAGAAAGGGGAGCTCAGGTACCTTCCAGAGAGTAAGATCCAGCGCCCTTCTCTCGCTCCCCTTAAGCTTTCATCCCCGCCATGGCGGAGCTGATTCAAAAGAAGCTGCAAGGAGAAGTGGAGAAATATCAACAGCTACAGAAGGGTAAGGGAGCAGGGTCAGTGTGGCCTCGCCCGATGCACTCACAAGCCAAAACCATACCAAGATAAGGTCTGTTGCCCCATCTGCGTGCCTTCGCGTGCGGAGACTTTCCCTCATCAGTATTCGTCCCTATTCACTGACCCGCTGCCCCCATCCTTGTCTACTTCCTCAGATCCATTTTCTCCTGACTAGGATTGTGGGGATAGGTGGCACATTTGATGTTTCTAATCTTGCCTTTTCTGTCATCCCCAGACTTGAGTAAATCCATGTCGGGGAGGCAGAAACTTGAAGCACAACTAACAGAAAATAATATCGTGAAAGAGGTGAGGGACTGGGATTTGTGTGGCGAGGAGGGGCCTGTACTGGCCATGGTTCTGATTACATATGTCCCGTCCCTTCATCAGGAACTGGCCCTGTTGGATGGGTCCAACGTGGTCTTTAAACTTCTGGGTCCGGTGCTGGTCAAACAGGAGCTGGGAGAGGCTCGGGCCACGGTGGGGAAGAGGCTGGACTATATTACAGCTGAAATGTGAGTCTAACTGAACCAGTGGCGTAGAGGTGTTGAGGAACCATTGCAGAACAGCTCTCCATAGTCGCCCCTAGTCCTCCAGTTCCTCCAAACCCCTTCCAACACCCCTTCTGCGCCTTTACCTAGATCTCAAGAAAGAGATGGAAATCTTTCTTGAGTTTAGCACCCTCCATAGTAAGTCCCACTAATTTCTCCTTTTCTGCTTGTCTCTCCTCAGTAAGCGATACGAATCCCAGCTCCGGGATCTTGAGCGGCAGTCAGAGCAACAGAGAGAGACCCTTGCTCAGCTGCAGCAGGAGTTCCAGCGGGCCCAGGCAGCAAAGGCAGGGGCTCCTGGCAAGGCCTGACCCCATGGTGGGGGAAGGGGAGCGGAGGGAATGAGGCAGCTCTAAGATCTATATTGTAGCTAATAAAATGTAAAAACACCTGCCTCTGTTTCCTGGTCAGGCATATCCCCACAGCCCCTTCCACCTTAACACACACCACCTATATTACTCCCTCAGGTCCAAACTCTTGCACTTGAAATCTCTCTGTGGCACAGTGTTCTTTCTTTCTTGAAAGTGAAATCCCAAATGTCCTCAAACCTTCTTTTAACTCTCCCTCATCTTGGTTGGCATGATTCTTTTAGAGGGGCATTTACAACAGGTCATATTGTGAGGAATGTCAGTTTAATTGAAGAATACATTTCTCTAACATGAGGCCCCTAGATGAAATGTGGTTACCCTCCTTGCCAGCAGTCCTGACATCTCTATTAGTACTTTTCAGCCTCTTTGTTTCTAGAATTTGCTTGAATGTAGCTTAAACTGACTTAAAATCCTAGCATGTAATGCTTTATGGTGTTATAAGTCCTCCCAAGTTTATATGTTGTCCATAAGGTTGTTCTGCCATTTCTTTGTCCTAAAATTGTTTTATACACATTTGCAGCATTGTTCTGAGGAAACTGTTCACCAAGTACCTCGCTTTTTGCTCTGTTTATGGAGATAGAAAACACTGTGCCCCTTCTTGCTCAATGGCATCTACCTTCAGCCAGTTCCCCACCCCACTCATAGCAGCCAGTTGATACACACTGCAAGGACAGGGGAGTAGAATTCAGGTAGTGTTTTGGTTTATTATCTTAGTGTTGTCACAGTGATAGAAACCCCAGAGTGGGAAGAGGAACTCCTGCGAGGACCTACTTTTTGCCATCCCCATCTGCCTGGGGCTCAGAGCCTTGAGGCCTTTGCTTGGCCCTTCACATTAGGATATGGCCAAGAATCAGAAACTGATGCCTTTTTCCAACACTACCTGTGTGCTGTGCTGGTGGAAGATGGGAAGCTATACACAGGTATCCAAGTTGGTTATAAAATTACCAGTTCCCACAGGGCTGGATTTCTCAGCTGTCTGGTAAACCAGTGGCACTTCACTGCCCCAGGGTGGCTGGCCACCTTTCTGAATTTCTGTCTCATTGTGAAACAATAGCCACCATTCAGGATGGCTACCCACATCTGGTATGAACACCATGACTTCTGTAAGCCAGTGAGGCTCCCTCCTCAGAACAGTGCCCGTGCAATCTTCCTCCCTGTGGCCTTGATCCTGGGAAAGGAGCCCCCTCCTCCCTCACTTGGAGGAGTCCCTGAGGCAGATGGGCCACTGGTGCCAGGTATAGCAGTAGAGGACCTTCGCCGCTGCCGCAGGAGGAAATCGTGTGAAGCTCCATCCATGGCATAGAATACGTTAGCCGAGGCTGGGATAGTCAGCTCTGTAGGTTCGGAGGGTGGATATCAAGCACAAACACAGTCGTTCCCCCCCACAGCCGCCCAGGTGTGGAAGCAGTCCACTCTCCTCCTGAGTGCCTTTCCCTCATGGCCTCTGACCTCGTTCCCCTGGTAGCAGTTGTACCAGCTCATACTCTGAAGCCACTGCAGAGTCACGATTGTTTTTCTTAAGGACACGACTGACGACACTTGGAGCCTTGTCCTGGCTTGTCACCTGGCAGGGCAGGAGACCAAAAGAGCAATCAATCAGCCATGATTTCCCATCCTCTACCCTTAGCCACTGGACCCAACCACAAAAGGTTACTGTGTCCAAGGCTTTAAAATGAACAGGGAAACTCAGTATGGTAGCTTCCTGTACCCTATAAGCCAGCCCACATGGTACCCAGTGAAACAGCTGCTTCCCTGTGGGGAAACTGCTGTTGATTCTGACATCTTACTATGACCACCAAAAGTTTAAGGTGCAGCAACTAATGCAAAACAGCCATCAAAATAAAACAAATTTCAGCTTGTATTGAAGACTGGAGTTTAGCAGATAAAAAATATAACTGCCAAAACCAAAGGTCAAAATTAAAACTACATTCAATTCCATTTGGCTGCCGAAACCTCCAACAACATTTATAGTCCAACAAGACACCATCCTTCACCCCAACTCCATCCCAAGGCTCCCTCACCAAAATGCTCTTATAGACACTGCCATCTTCCCCCAGCTCCATCTGGACTCGGATGATTCGGCAATCAGAGGCCCCTGGCCCAGATCCCACTGGCCCAGATCCCCCTCCCCCATATCCAGTCCCCCCCGAGGCCCCTTCTGCACCCCCACTCAGCGGGGAGCCACAGGAGGCTGAGCGGCGGTGACCTCGAGAAGGCCTAGGGGAGGAGGCTGGCGGGGAGAGGTGGCTGGGGTCAGCCGAACTGTGCAGGGATGGACTGCTTTCCAGGGCAGAGTCTAGTGACGAGACAGATGGCCACTTCATGTGCTAGGAACAAACAACATGAGGGGACTGGCATGAAGGCAGGGAGGTTAAAGAAGAAACATTTACAGAGTGAGGGTCAGCGTCAACGTCAGAGGTCAGGAGCAGAGCTCACCTGGGCCAGCCGAGTCAGCAGGGGAGCAGGAGTTGCAGGCACCTCGTCTCCCCCTATACTGGACCGGTCGCAGGACACAAGCGGGGTAGGGACTCCAACAGAGCCCAGAACCCTGCAGTGGCACGAGATTGGGAGGATCAGAAGAGGAGTGGAAGTCCCAAGAAACCACCCCCCAGCCAGTGAATCTCTCACTCTGTCCACTGCGAGATGACCAGCGTTGGCCGAAGCACCCGTGGGGCAGGAGGGTCACTGGAACCAGGTGGCTCCACCTCACAGGACACACGATGGCTGGGTTGGGGGGCAATAGGCAGAGCTCAGAACATGACAGCAATCCCCCACACATGTCCAGAGTCCCGGAGTCCCAACCTCAGCCACCAGTCACCTCTGAGCTTCTGTAAGTGGCCGGAGCCCCTGTAGCCACCGCTGGATATCATGGTCAGGTTGGAGGTTATAGCCACGACATTCATTCTGGAGCCGTCGCAACTCAGAAAGGACTGCAAACTCCTGGGAAGGAGCCCTCAAACTGCAGGAGCCAAAACTCAGGGACCCCTGACTTTTCCCCCTCCCCTTCTTGGGACAGGGATAAGGAAGTCCAGCATCCAGCCCAGGCACTCCGCTCACCTTCCTCCGCTTGTCAAAATTGATGTATCCATTCTGCAAGGAAAATGGGGATGGGGTGAAATTCTAACCCTACCTTCCAGACCACAGAGAGAATATATCCCCTCTCTTAAACACACAGCCACATTCAATCACAACCACTTCCCTCCAGCCTCTGACTCTTCCTTCCCTTCCCTCCCCCTCAATCTATCATGCCCTAAGCACTCCACTCGACCCTTTAAATTGAGTATCTCAGGGAGACAACAAATCTGCTTTGCAGATGAGAAGACTGGATAGGATCCCATTGGATAGGATTCCTTATCCAGAGAGGATGAGGAACTTGCCCAAGGTCTCCGTGTTTGTTTACTTGACAAACTCCAGCAATAGAGCAGGAGCCCATCGCAAAACCTAGACGTGCTTACGTTTCAGGCGTGTTCTGAGCATTTGACAAACACAAATTCATTTAACCCCCATAATAACAGATTGATGTAGATGCTATTTCTAGTTTCCCATTTACAGATCACCGAGGCAACTTGGCACAGTAACAGATCTGGCTTTGACTCCAGAGTCCCACACTCAGCTATTGATAGCCCTTTGCAAGGGGGGGTCTGTGTGACCTTGCAACCCACTTGTTACATCTTCGCAGTGACACACACACTGGCACGCACACACAGCTGTCTGGTAAACCAGTGGCACTTTGCAGTGACACACACACACCACTGACCTCCAGCTCATCCTTGGAGGCTGCATCCAGCATCACAAGGTCCTTCAGGAAGGTACCAAGGTATGGGACCACACCCTGAGGTAAAGGGTCAGGATCAGACATGCCTACCATTGATGTGAGGGCCCTCCATCCCTCCACACTTGCCCTCTCCACTGCCTCAGAAAACAGATTTCATTCTCCTCATCCCTCTGTGTCTCCCTTTCCCATCCTTCAGGCTGCTCCCCCCAAACACGCTCCTCACTCCTTCACAATCACCACCCCCAAGCCCACCAGCCCACTAGTCACTCACCCCACCCCGAGAGCCAGACCTCGGGGCCTTCTTGGAGTGTGGCTCCAGAGGAGACTGCAGCTTCACCTCCTGGTGGTGACAAAATAAAGAGACATGGGGAGCAGTAGGGAGCAGGGAGAGGTGGGAATCCCAGAAACTAGGCTCTCACCTGCACGAGCAGCTCCCGGCTCTGGGAATAATTATCCTTCTCAGAGAAAATCTGACAGAGGCTGGAAAAGACTCGGAGGCTGTCCCTGGGGAAGGAAGAAGAATGGCCCTAAGGACAGGCCTGACTCTGTCACCCCCTCTTCCCCGCCCTCTGAGGAACCCCCACCCCAGTCCAGTGCCTCGGTCTCCCCACCTGGTTGCTTCCCCCCAGGCTGCCCGAAGCCTGTGGATGGGGCTGGACTGCAGGGCGGACACCACAGCATACACTGAAGAGAAGTTTCGGAGCAGCCGGCACTCCTGTTGGGGTCAAAGAGGAGAGCTAAGGCTATGGGAGCCCTCTCCATGCCACCTTGGCCAACCATAGGGCAATCCTATCTCTCACCTCTGCCACACGGATCCACTTCTCCAGGAGCCGGGCCCTCTGTGGGGGACGGAGTGGCCGTATGGTCACCTCCCCAGGCCCCTCTCCGGTGGCGGTGGCCCCCAGGACAGAACTAACCACTGCCCCTGCCACCTTGTTGAACTGTGTGATAGTAGCTCGGACAGATGGGCAGAGGTGAGAATGTCCTGGCCGGTCTCTGTGACCCCACAGGCCTCCCAGGCACTGAGAGGGGATCAAATTGAGAAACAGCTCCTGCAGGGTAGAAGTCAGAGGTTAAAATTCATAGTCAAGTGAGGTCAGCCTTCCAATATCAGGGATCTGAGGATCTCAGGTGGCCAAGGAACTAGAGGGGCATAGGGTTTGAAGGGTAACATCCAAAGGGAAAAGGGGAAAGTCAAAATGGAAGGTGAAACAGGTTAGGAGGTGGATCAGGAAGGGGTGGAAGCAAGGAAAGGATCTGGAGTCAGGAGAGGTTAGTAGGGGGTCAGGGGTTACAGGGGTCAGAGGTCAGGGTCTCACCGCATCTAGCAGGGTCAGCTGTTCGGCCAAGTGGTCAGCGAGGAACACCAGGACATCCGTGGGGTCAGCAGGGGGATCGCCGGGGAGGGCCAGGGACTTAGGAAGGTCGGGGGCCTGGGGGTCCACCCGGGACCGGAGGTTGCGGATGAGGTCAGCGCTGCCCCCCCCAACACCCTTCCCTGCTGCATACCCTGTCTGAAGTAAGAAGCTCTCAAGGCGGTCAAGCTGACCCTTGGCCTCAGAGCCAAAATCCTCAGGGTGAGAGGCCAGCCAAGTTGACAGTACAGAGATGGCTACCCTGGGAGAAGGGGAATCAGCCAAAGGTGAGAGGTAAAGCTGCAGCCTGGAGAGAGGGAACTGTGAGGTTAAGAGGCAGAGGTCACTCACTCTGTTGTCCTCTCTAGTTCATCGGCAGGATGAGATTCAAGGGCTTCCAGCCTGAGGGGTAGAAGAGAATTTATCTGTCTATTTTTCCCAGTGGCCTTGCCTATTTTAGTGGGATGTTGGAGCTTTAGGAAATCGAGACAGATACTCCACGACCCTGGGTCCCTTATGACTCTGACCTGTCAGCCATAAGCCCTAGCAGGGCAGGCGTGGAGGTGAAGGCCCGGTGGGTGGCCAGGAAGGCTGACGTGAAGGTCACGTCAGTCCCTGATGTCCGGCTATCCAGTAGGTATCTGACCAGGGCCTCCAGAGTGCCAGCTCGGAGCCGTCGGGAAGAACGCGGGGGAGGCATAGGGACCTGGAAGACACAGAGAGATGATCACCAACCCTTTCTCCCACTCCCCTAGATTTCTGAGGACAATCCCAGACCTAGAAGATGTTCCAGACTTATTTTGCTGATATTCAGAGAGGGCAAAAATCTTGGCCTATGTCACACAGCAGAGTCCAGAACTCCAGAACTCCAACCTAGCACTCTGGCCAGAAAGTCAGCCAGAGGAAGGGAAAGTGGGAGTGAAGGGTCAGAGATGAGAAGCTAAAGTCATGATCTCACCAAGGGATCAACAGGCCGATATTGGCGGCTTGTGACGGTAAACACGGCACCATCCTCCTCCTCATCCCAGACTGACACAGGGGCCTGGAGGAGCAAGGAAGGGGAAGTCAGACAGTTCCACACCACCCCCCACTGCCCTCAGCCCTCACCACAGGCCCTGCTCCTCCCTCTGTACCCCTCACCTGTGGTGGCAGGGGATAGTACCAGCGAGTGCGAGGAAGGGTGGGGGGGGCTGGTGACCCCAGGTCTCCCCCACTGGGGCCCAGACAGCCCCACCCCAGCCGCCTCAGGGCTTGGTGGAGTCGAAGGGGCTGCAGTGGAGGGGTGGATGGAGTACAGGAATCCTGATCCTGGAGACCCCCAAAGCCCCTTCCCCCCAGAGCTGAACCCACAAAAGACAGAGAAGCAGAATACAAAGGGCAGGAGAGGGAAGCCAGAGGCAGCAACCTGGAGTAGCTGAAACCTCAGTCCAGGCACTGCCGCATGCCCCGCCCCTCCCCACCAAGGACTAGACCAGCCCAGAGAATTAGTCCTTCTCAGGCCCCCTTTCACCCTGGTCCCTCGGGTAGCGCCTCCACTATCTCAGCCCTAAGGGACCCTCGAAGGTAGCAGCTCCAATCCTAGTACAGGAAGGAAAAGGGGAAGTGGGATGATGGGGGGGGGGTAGACTCAGAGAATCACGTGGCTCCAGCCCCTCCCCCGACCGATCCCGAAAAACCAGCCCTGCCAGTCACCCTGCCCTCACCTAGTATCTGGACCTAGGAGTTTAGGGCCTCGGGGCCCCAAATCCAAATTGTGGCCCCTCCTGAGGCCCTAAATCCTGCTCCTGGCCACCACCATTAATCCCTAATGAAAACGGGTGACCATTCTGTTCTGGAACTGGCGACTTCCCGGCGTGGGGGCGGTGGGTAAATGGAGGAAGGAGGGGTCATGAAATCTGAGGGTTCCCTCCCCAATCCCAGAGTCAGAGGAGCTGGTTACTGTGGAAACAAACCCCTCCCCGCCAAACAAAAACAAGGAGGGAGACAGGGACCAAGACACAACTGCTCAGAGAGGCCGGCACACTCAGGCAGAGGCAGAGAGGGGCAGAGACCCGAAGGAACAGCCAGCCAGAAGTTCCAGGCAGGAACAGGGCAGGTTCCTGCAGGCAGGTCCCTTCGGGCAGGTCCTGAGTCACACTGACAGAGAACCACAGAGATGCCAGGACTCCCCGCAGCAGGGAAACGGACCGACACCCAGGGAGGCGCGAGAATAACTGAGGCTAGGAGGATGAGATGTAGGGACCCAGAGACAAGAGAAAGGTGGAGACTTCAGAAATGCATACGCCCCCTACCTCCCACCACCTGCGTCTCACCTCTTCTTCTTCTTCCTCCTCCTCTTCCTCCTGCCCCCCGCCCACGACCCGGCCACCCGGGCCCCCACCCTCTTCGGGGTCCCGGCTTCGGAAGCTGCTCAGTACGACTCCCCCGGGGGGGCTCGTGTCCAAAAGCAGCCGCAGGGGCCGCGGGAGCATGGCCGAGTGAAGGAATCAGCGGGGTCGGGCCATGGGGGCGCCTGGGGAGAGACGGGGTGGGGTGGGGGTGGAGAGTCAGGCGGGCGCGGGGGAGCGGGGCAGGGAAGGGACGGGGGTGGGTGTCAAGAA